TTTTTTAATATGCCAAGCACAGTAATGAGTGTCAGACATAAACTAGAACGCTGGGACGAAGGGAGGTGGAGAATAAAATGTTTAAGCAGCACCTCTGCTTATTTCATGGTTAAGTTATTTTGTATTAGCCACGGAAATTGCTGCTGCGTCTGTTCAGTGAGGATGCATGCAGACTGCTCGATTAGCAAAAAATCAGAAAAAAATTACCTCGTGGCTTGCTTCTAAAGGCTTGTATTTGTTTTTTCTAAGCAGGAGACACTATAATACAGCTTCCAATCAATCAACCACATAGTTCTGGTAATCAATGCCACAAACAGACTTTATATATGTATTATATGGAAGTGTGCGTCTACTTCTGGGAATAAAAATTTTCCAAGTTGCATGAGTTTGCTCAAGATCTGCCAGGTCATGATAGAGCTCACTGCTCTGCTGGGTTCTGCCTTAACTTGCTGGCAGGTGTCACTGGAGGCATGGAGCCAAGGCTTTGGTGAACAGCAGCCATCCGATTTGGCAATAAAAATCGTAATTCAGTGAACAGAGAAGCAGGGAGAGGAGCATTACCCAGTACTTACCTCCTTGGACACGTTTGGAATAGTTTTTTTGCAGTTGAGTATCGGCTTTAGTCTGTGCTAATTCTCTGGAGGATTTGGTTTTTAGGCTTTTACAAGGGTCAGTTGAATAATGAAGAAATGGAAAAACAATCAGTCCTTTTCAGTTGTGCACAAACTGCTGTCACTGTGTGACTGAGATCGGACAAAGCGGTGCAGTGTTTATGGAGGATAACGCTTTGCGAGCCTGCAGCAGCAGAAAGTGTAGGTACCAGTGCAGGCTCTCGGTTGTGACAAATAGTTAAGCGTAGCCTACATACCTACTTCTGAAGTCTCTCATTGTCTCGCATTTCATCGTATCATCTGGTAGCATATGGCTGTCATGGATAATTGAGACTTATCAGGAAAATAATGTTGGCAGAGCCTAGTTTCACACATTTCCTGTTAAACACCCAGGAGAGGAACGGGCTTTTGTTTCCCCTGAGCCCTTTTGCCATGGTGTGGAACTGCAGAGCCAGAACTGTGAAGCTTCTCCCAGAGCAGCTATTACAGTGCTAGAGAGCTTCCCAAACTTCTGCAAATGCAGCAAACTGCTTTTCACAGAATTTGGAGTTTGATTTTTGGGCATGTGTTCGGCACATGCAGTATTTTTCCTTCACTGAATTACCGTCTTCTGCGTAGGCAGCAGTGGCAAGTGACCCAGGAAACAACTTGCGATGCAGTGTCTAGCCTGGCATCTGTATTTGTGCAAAACACAGTAATTTACAGGAGCATTCATCAGCGCAGCCCAATTGCAGAGTCCTTCAACTGACTTGGTTGGAATAAATAGGCAATAAATTACGTGCTAGCGTATTAAAAGGAATGTATCAGAATAGGTGCTCAAAATACTATTTTATCATAGACTTTTGCCAGCTGTTTAAAGTCAGCAAAAATATTGCTGTTTATTTCAGTGGGAGTTTGATCAGACCAAGATGTATCATAAGAGAACTTGGGGACTTGTGCTTTTGGGATAATTTTCTGTGAAGACGACATCCCTGCCAATCCTGCAAGCTGCAGGGGGTGATCTTATTTTTAAATTTCTGCATTTATATTTCACAGGATGCATCATGGCTGATGCATTTACACGCAGTATGTAGGGTAAGGAGTTGTAACTGAGGCTGTAACCACAGCTTTGTCTGTGATCCAGTCTGACAGTCCCAGCTGTGAGCACCAGCACCCCTTAGAGGGACCTGATCATGTTTTAAAACAGAAGTTTAATTGTCTAAAATAAACAAACTAGCTGAAACTTAACAAACTTGTACCAGAATTCTAAAGAAATGTAGAAATCAGTTGATGTAGAAAATTCTTTTTTTTCCGCTGGGTGATTCCTGCTTTACCCTGGCAGAGCTTGTCATTGGAACATGAGGAAACGGTTTCAGCCACTGTAAGGTCACACAAATGGGGATCTGAAATCCGCTGTTAACAGAATAGCCACTGTTTTCTTCTACCCTGAAATTAGTGCCAGCAGGGCAGTTTTGAAACACGCAGAGAATTACCACATGCTGCTGCAATGGTAAAACAACCAGCTCAGCTCCCAGGTAACACCTCATTTCCCCCTGCCGCCACTTTTGGGAAAAAAAAAAAAGAAAAAAAAAAAGTCAAACTGATGAATCAAAGATTCATCATTCAATGTCCAATTGGCTTAAATCCCCTGTTTTCTTCTCCCAACGTCCCCCAGCCTTCTGCCAGCACGTGGTGGCTATGTTAAGTGGAAAAATATAGTCCTGTTTTTTCCTTGATCCTGTTAAAATCTTCACCAGGGCCTTCCTTGGACACTTCAGATAGAGGTGGCACAAAATTGAGCTGAGAATTTTTTTTTCACTAGTATCTGTGTTTTATCATTGGTTTTCAGTGGAATGGAATAGGAGCCCACACAGAAGCACTCCGAATATATGAATAAATACAGCATCGTGGTTTCAGGCAAGGGTAGGCTGCTGAATTTTATCAGACACCATTCCAACTACCAGCACGCTAAGCAGTCATCCGTGTTGCTTTGCAAGACAGTAGCATATTTAATGTTCAGTAATTTCAAAGAAGGATTTCTGGAGAACAGCGGGTGGCAGGAAGCCATGGGCTGCTGCTGTTACAGTGGGTTGTGAAGGTAAGGTCTGCCCAGCTACCCCGGAGAGCTTCCCAGAGAAGCTGTGTCAGCAAGATTTGAAAAATGCCCGAGAGACCCCATCCCTGAGTGACTGCCAGACCCGAAATATCTGTGCTGCTGCTCCAAAGGGCACCGGAGGAGTAAGAGCTCTGCCTGTGGTTGAAGTGTTCAGTTGTTTGATGCTAGCACTTAATTCCTCTGAGTCACAGCAAGTTTAGAAACTAGACCATGGTATGTTAAAAAGATGGCAAGTGGAGAGAAGGTCTTTGTATTTTCTGCCATCCAGCCATAATCAAACAGGAGGGAAAAGAGTTTGTTTTATTTTCACTGAGCTTTCCCAGTGGCTCTCTTAACAATTATCATTCCACAGAGCGTAGGAAAAAAGCACTTGATGAGGTATTCCAGGGGAGCTGGTCAAATCTATTCACAAAATGTTCTTTTTCCCTGCCCACCCACTGCCGCCGTCTCGCTGCTCTCAGTCTGCCTCGGCTGGCTGTCCTCTCCCATGGCACGACAGGGGTGGGCTTTTCTCTTCAGCGTGTCCGGTGCTCGTTCCTCCGAGCCTGCTTTCCGCGTGTGCTGGCCTCGCAGCGTGCCTCTTGCACGCTCCAGTGCTCCCCTGAGCTCTTCTTTCAGCTCTGCGCTCTTCAGGGCATTGCCTCTGTTCTCCCTGTCCTTCGGCCACGGGGGTTTGAAGTCCCAGCAGAGGAGCGCGGCCGACTTTCACACGAGCCGTTTCCCTTCCAATACCAACAGCGCAGCAGGGGTGGGAAAAGCCTTCCCCAGTGCTCGAGGTTTCCCCTGGTGACGTACTGGAGCTGGGCTGGCAAAGCACCGCCTGTGTGTGGGCCCTGGCTTGTCGGAGCCAGCGAACACCCCAGAGGCTGCTGCAGCCAAGAGCTGGGATCTCTCAGCCTGCCCCATTGCCAGCGCTTTCAACAGGCGGCTGGGGCACCGACTGCCACACTGGCTGGGAACTTGTTGCAGTCAGAGCTCTTCCCACGTCTGGGAAGGATTCCCAGGCTGAGGATGGGATTTTTTACTGCAGAGAGGCATGGCGGGGCAGCAAGCCCTTCCTCGGAGAGAGGAAAGCCCTTCTCTCCTCCCGCTGGCCCGGGCCCTGCTCAGCCTCCCTGAGCAGAAACGCAATCACTGCTTCGATTTTCCAAAGGAATGGGTAACTGGGGGGAGAAGGGCTGCACCTGCCTCCGAGCCACAGACACCAAAACGCGTGGCAGATCTCATCACAGCACAGCCGGATTCATCAATGCAGCGAGACTTTGGTGGCTTTGTGCTCCTTACCTGGAGAGCTTCAAGCACCAAAACAGTCCTTCAGTGCTTAGTATCAAAGCACTGCCTTTGCAAAGCAGTATTTGCAACTCGTGCATCAGAACTCTTCCGAGAGCCCCGCTACTTGCGAGTCTTCTGGAAATTTGTGCTTTCATAGTGTATGAACCCCTAGGGAGACACGAGTCTTTCAGAGGCTTCATGCAAATAAAATGCAGCATTTTACAGTCTTAGGCATAGCCTCAGGTTTCTCAGTTTTTCCTAACAAAGTACTGATTTTCTGCTCTTTTATTTATTTCTTTTAGTAAAGATTTTCAGTTCACACTTGGTTCAGCTCTATATAACCAACATAATCCTGTTTTCCTACTACTTAACCAGATAATCAAGATGCCAAAAGCATTTGTATGGCTTGGGAATTCCCTTATTTTCTGCCTTAAAATTCTAACTGCAGTCATGTATGAACCTCTGGTTTATAATACAGAAAAACACGATTTAGTCCCCAGAAAAAAAGAACATGGAAATGCATGCAGGGAGACTCATTGTAATTTGGAATAATAATAATAATAAAATTTAGATCATTGTAGCAAAGATGTAAGCTAGAACTGCTCTGTGTTCAGTGAAGGGGGAAAAAAAAAGTCTCTGAGCATCTTTTCAGTTTTCTTTCCCCTAGCAAGGGGTGCAGGCAGACTTGCCGTCTGTCCCACTTCTTAGCTATGGATTTGTGCTCCCGGAGCTAATTTTCTAGAGTTAGTGACGTCCTACAGATGTCTTCAAAGCAGGGGCAGGGAGAGGAGCAGGACTGGGGTAAGGAGGGTTATGCTTACCTACCGTATTAAGCATCAGAGAATCCATACCGGGAGAGGACTAAACACCTTGAGGCAACTGAAGACAGAGCGGCTGCTGAGTGCAGGGAACCGTTGGTTATTATTAACGGCCAAGGGCAAGCATCATGTCATCAGTTTGTTTCTAACTTAAAGATAACGATCTTTAAATGCTGCTTTTCTGTTTTCCCCGCAGGTAAATATGTCTATCAGCCCATGACACCCGTAGAGCAGCTTCCCAGCACTGAAATACCTGTTCGCCCTCGGGAGTCGACAAACACCATCCAGATCTCCGTTTCGCTCACTGAACACTTTTTGAAGTTTGCGCCCGTCTTCCAGCCCCCTCTGCCCCCCGACTCCCCGCAGTTCTGCACAATCGCAGACCTCTTCATTGACAATTACCGCGTGAAATGCATCAATGGGAAGATGTGCTACGTGCAGAGGCAGCCTCCCCCCGTGCCCCACAAGATAAAGCCCGAGGAAGTCCCGGTTCGCAATGCCTTAATCACAAAAGAGAGCAATACGCCAAAAACAGATCACTGCTCGTCCCCTTCCAGTTCTGAGGACTCCGGGATCAATGCAGTGGGGGTTCACTACATGGAGTCGTGTGACGAGGACACGGAGGGGGTGGCCGAGCTAAGTTCAGAAGAAGATTACAGCCCGGATAGCAGCTGGGAACCAGATGAATGCCCGCTCTTGTCACCCTCGCAGTGCGAAATGGAAGTGATCGAGACTATAGAAACCACTGTGTAATCCGACAAGTTGGTATCAGATCAGTCCAGTTCCCACTCAGTAATGTTGCTTTTGTAGTATTTATATTTTCCGTTTTTTCTGACAATCCCTTTTTTCCAGTGCACTTGATATTTCAGATTCCTCATGGGAGCGCGGTCACAGGACTTGCATATTGGTGAACTAGCAGCAGCCTGAGCAATTTTAACATGTTCTCAGCCTGATCAGATCTCTCACGTCTGCACGTAAGGTAGTGATAAATCTTAAGACTTTTGTAGCTGAAACAGGCCCTTTTCTTGGTCTGGGTTACATCGTATACTACTTCTCATACAAGGATGTGCCCCTCGAGATGTTTTCATCTGTCAGGATGTTTGCAGTGGGCCTTCAAAGCACAGAGGGTGAGCTGGTGCAGCACGCCTGCGAGCAGCAAAACCAAGTTGCCCTTATTCTTTCTCAAACAGCTACGCGAGGTGCGGCGACAAGAGGCTCTTTCCGTCTCTGTCCTTGCGCATTGTCCATCCTTTTCTCTAGTGCTGGTGCGACCCTTCTTGAAGGCTGTTGGCACCACTCTTCCAGCGGGTTGGTATGGCAGGCTAGAGAATGCACAAAGTGCCTCCAACTTTTCTCCAGGCTATGCACCGCATCTGCTGAGTTAGGTCAGGCTCTGAAATCTCCTGAGAAGGCAACTGTTGCTCCAGAGGGGGATCGGTTGCCTGGATCCAGCTGGTCCCTTTTCTCTACGTGGAGCTTGGGAAGGGGATCTGGCTTTTGCAGCTCGGCAGGAGGGGGAGCAGGCAGAGGTGAAGCACGGCCGTCTAATACCATGCTAGACTGGGGTGTAAAATGATAGGCGAAGGAAGTGACTACCTCCAAACACACAAAATCCGCCTTCGGCTTTGCCTGCTGCTTCCTCCTGTGCTGTTTGGTGCCGGACACGTGCACTCAGGACCGAATGGCCTCAGGGCCTGCGTTTGCCTGAAGAACAACAAAATTTTAAAAAAAGAAGTTTATCAGCCACACCACTGTGTCAGCAGAGCTCGGGGACAGCGTGGAGGTGCCCGTGGGAGGTGGCCCACAGGCTCGGTAGCACGCGTGCTTGTTAAAATACAGCCTAAGGTCATTCTGGCGGAGAGAGGAAGCTTCAGCTCCCGCTCCTTTGCGCCCAGTTCAAGAGCGGATTCTGAACAGGGGTTTCCTCAAATAGCTGGTAAGAGCGAGCTGTCTCGCTGGTGGTTTGGTTTCAGCCCTGCTTGACGAAACAAAAATGTCGTTCTCAGAAGATTTCAGTCAGCTTGAATTAGTTGGAGTCAGTAATAACTGTGTTTTCAACAGCATTACTGAATTTCTTTGTGTATTTGCTGTTTACGTTTCAAAAGTCATTGGTGAATATAAGGCTGTATAAATGTGTACAGTTTAGTGATTGATACTAGATTATAGTCCGTGTTATAGGATGGCTCATCTCTCTCACTGTATCCTGACAATGTATTACTAATTTTATACACTTTGTAATCAGTATCTTTAGAAAACATTTAGGCAACAGTGTGTGTATGTGCACATGCGTGTGTGCTAGGAGTTTACCATAAATGGTTATGAAGTAATACTGTACTTTTTAGACTAACACTTTCAGACAAAAGTAATAGGTTTTATAGTTTTGATGACTTACATAAAGTGCAATGCTTGTTAAATGAGGAACTTGGGCCATTGCATGAACAGATACATTCTCACAAGGCACCTGAAAATACTCTGTTTTTCTGAGGGCATTTAAACAAAGGCCGTAGTAAAACTAAATAGGATCTATTTATTTTTTAAGGGCAGGGTTGTCTTTCTTGGTTAACTAAGGTTTCTAACAACGTTTTAGTGTCTTTTGACCATTCAGGCACATTCCACAGGTAGAAGGAAGCATTATGTATAAACCTACAGCATTTATTCATATTTAATCTTTCAATTGTAATCTGAGTGGAGAGCTGAAAAAGCTCACTCTTGTGCCTGGCCTGCCTGAGCTTTCTTCCCAGAGGCGGCTTCCCTTTCCCGGGAGGACAAGGTGGGCTGGCAGATGCATCCTCCCAAGGGACTAGCGGCAGCGGGGCCTTCCCCGAGGACGGGGTGCTCCTCGCCAGCTCCCACTGGGCGCCAAGCAGAGGAAGGGTCATCAGGACCCTCTGACTTGGCAGGAGCTCACCTTGTTTGCAAGCAAGCAGGAGCCGCCGCCTCCTGCTGTTAGGGGGCACCGGCTGCGAGCGCAGTGAAATTCAGTTGGGTACTTATGACCAAGACTTACCGTAAGATCCCGTGGTCTTGCGGGTTCATATCACTGTTGTCAGGATACATTCTTTCTTAACTGTAAGTAATTAGCAATATTCACAAGCTGTGAGTGTCTCCTACCCAGGATTTGTTCAGATGTCTTAAGCACAATAAGCTGCCTCTTCCTTCTGTTGTACCTGTAAAAACATCAGTGGAGCAGCCTGGTGTGGGACGGGGCTAGTTCTGGAAAGCGTTTCAGCAGCCAGCACAGTGGCAGGTTTCTCAACTGTGCTCCATCACGCACCCCAGTTCAGAAACACGCTCTTCACAGAAACGCGATTTCTTTTCTTTGCACAAAGACTGGCGTAGATGTGCTGTAAGAGACGTGCCCTGGGCTCGTTGCTCCACTCTGCCAGGGAGAGGCGTGTATATTTCCTCTTTAATAAAATACTAAACAACTGAAGTTCTACTTGTCCTAACTGTGTATTTTCCATACTACAGTGAAATATTCTGATATTTCCAGCAAAGGAAAGGTCACTTATGGCTTCAGATGGCGGCACCTGAAACACACACCCAGTGCTAGGCAGAGAAGTGTAATAACCAGGTGGAGCGCACCAGGCCCAGCCCCACCTGGGTTTGGGCACCTGGTAAGTACTGGGGCTGGTGGGCAACCTCACAGCCCAGTTCGCACTCACCTGTGAAAGAAGAGCTGCCCCAGTCGGGGGAGGACAGCGGGGGAAAAGAGCTGCAGGCTGATGTCTGGGAGAATTCAGCTGGCTGTAGCCCCTTGACCACGTTCACATGTGGCTGCAGGCTGGAAACATCAGTCTGGGACACCATTTTGTAGTTCTTAGTGCGAGTGGGAAGAAGGTGAGCACACTGGGGCCCCAGGGCGCAGGCACCGGCACTGCTCCCCGGCCGGGTGGGCTCTGCACAACAGCTGGCGCTGCTGTGTTCCTTGGAGGCAGCAGCACTGCCCAGAATTCCTGC